CTTCACCTGTGTGTCTTGCCTAAAGGTTCATCACATGTGTACTGTATGTCACCTGTGTGTCTTTGTCTAAGGTTCATCACATGTGTACTGTACTTCACCTGTGTGTCTTGCCTTAAAGGTTCATCACATGTGTACTGTACTTCACCTGTGTGTCTTGCCTTAAAGGTTCATCACATGTGTACTGTATGTCACCTGTGTGTCTTGCCTAAAGTTCATCACATGTGTACTGTACTCACCTGTGTGTCTTTGGCCTTAAAGGTTCATCACATGTGTACTTCGTATGTCACCTGTGTGTCTTGCCTTAAAGGCTCATCACATGTACTGTACTTCACCTGTGTGTCTGTCTTAAAGGTTCATCACATGTGTACTGTACTTCACCTGTGTGTCTTGCCTTAAAGGTTTCATCACATGTGTACTGTATGTCACCTGTGTCTTGCCTTAAAGGTTCATCATCACATGTGTACTGTACTTCAGCTGTGTGTCTTGCCTTAAAGGTTCATCACATGTGTACTGTATGTCACCTGTGTGTGTCTTGCCTAAAGGTTCATCACATGTGTACTGTATTTCACCTGTGTGTCTTCGGCTCTTAAAAGGTTCATCACATGTGTACCGTATTTCACCTGTGTGTCTTGCCTTTAAAGGTTCATCACATGTACCGTACTTCACCTGTGTGTCTTGCCTTTAAAGGTTCATCACATGTGTACGTACTCACCTTGTGTGTCTTGCCTTAAAGGTTCATCACATGTGTACTGTATTTCACCTGTGTGTCTTGCCTTAAAGGTTCATCACATGTGTACTGTATTTCACCTGTGTGTGTCTTGCCTTAAAGGTTCATCACATGTGTACTGTATGTCACCTGTGTGTCTTTTGCCTTTAAAGGCTCATCATATGTGTACTGTGGCTTCACTCCAGTGCCCGCCTTTAAAGGTTCATCACATGTACTGTATCACCTGTGTGTCTTGCCTTTAAAGGTTCATCACATGTGTACTGTATGTCACCTGTGTGTCTTGCCTTTAAAGGTTCATCACATGTGTACTGTATTTCACCTGTGTGTCTTGCCTTAAAGGTTCAATACATGTGTACTGTGGTCACCTGTGTGTCTTGCCTTAAAGGTTCATCACATGTGTACTGCATGTCACCTGTGTGTCTTGGCCTTAAAGGTTCATCACATGTACTGTATGTCACCTGTGTGTCTTGGTTCAAGTTCATCACATGTGTACTGTATTTCACCTGTGTGTCTTGGTCTTTAAAGGTTCATCACATGTGTACTGTATGTCACCTGTGTGTGTCTTGCCTTAAAGGTTCATCACATGTGTACTGTATTTCACCTGTGTGTCTTGGGTCTTTTAAAGGTTCATCACACGTGGTAATTCGTATTTCACCTGTGTGTCTTGCCTAAAGGTTCATCACATGTGTACTGTATGCTACCCGTGTGTCTTGCTCAAAGGTTCATCACATGTGTACCGTATGTCACCTGTGTGTCTTGCCTTAAAGGTTCATCACATGTGTACTGTATTTCACCTGTGTGTCTTGCCTTAAATGTACCATCACATGTGTACCGTATGTCACCTTGTGTGTCTTGCCTTAAAGGTTCATCACATGTGTACTGTACTTCCAGCTGTGTGTCTCGCCTTAAAGGTTCATCACATGTGTACTGTATTTCACCTGTGTGTCTTGTCTTAAAGGTTCATCACATGTGTACTGTATTTCACCTGTGTGTCTTGCCTAAAGGTTCATCACATGTGTACTGTATGTCACCTGTGTGTCTTTGCCTTAAAGGTTCATTCACATGTACCGTATTTCACCTGTGTGTCTTGCCTTTAAAGGTTCATCACATGTGTACTGTATTTCACCTGTGTGTCTTGCCTTAAAGGTTCATCACATGCGTACTGTATGTCACCTGCGTGTCTTGCCTTAAAGGTTCATCACATGTGTACTGTATTTCACCTGTGTGTCTTGCCTTAAAGGTTCATCACATGTGTACTGTATTTCACCTGTGTGTCTTTGCCTTTAAAAGGTTCATCACATGTGTACCGTATGTCACCTGTAAAATCTTGCCTTAAAGGTTCATCACATGTGTACTGTATTTCACCTGTGTGTCTTGCCTTAAAGGTTCATCACATGTATACTGTATTTCACCTGTGTGTCTTGCCTAAAGGTTCATCACATGTGTACTGTATGTCACCTGTGTGTCTTGCCTTAAAGGTTCACATGTGTACTGTATTTCACCTGTGTGTCTTGCCTTAAAGGTTCATCACATGTGTACTGTATTTCAATCTGTGTGTCTTGCCTTAAAGGTTCATCACATGTACCGTATGTCACCTGTGTGTCTTTGCCTAGTTCATCACATGTAGCCAGGCTTCACCTGTGTGTCTTGCCTTAAAGGTTCATCACATGTGTACTGTGGCGTCACCTGTGTGTCTTGCCTAGCGTTCATCACATGTGTACTGTACTTCACCTTGTGTGTCTTGGCCTTAAAGGTTCATCACATGTGTACTGTATGTCACCTGTGTCTTGCCTTAAAGGTTCATCACATGTGTACTGTACTTCACCTGTGTGTCTTGCCTTAAAGGTTCATCACATGTGTACTGTACTTCACCTGTGTGTCTTGCCTAAAGGTTCATCACATGTGTACCTGTATGTCACCTGTGTGTCTTGCCTTAAAGGTTCATCACATGTGTACTGTATGTCACCTGTGTGTCTTTGCCTTTAAATGTTCATCACATGTGTACTGTATCAATTCGTGTGTCTTGCCTAAAGGCTCATCACATGTACTGTACTCACCTGTGTGTCTTTGCCTTAAAGGTTCATCACATGTGTGTACTGTATGTCACCTGTGTTCTGTCTTAAAGGTTCATCACATGTGTGTACTGTACTCTCACCTGTGTGTCTTGCCTTAAAGGTTCATCACATGTGTACTGTATGTCACCTGTGTGTCTGCCTTAAAGGTTCATCACATGTGTACTGTACTTCACCTGTGTGTCTTCCCTTAAAGGTTCATCACATGTACTGTACTTCACCTGTGTGTCTTTGCCTAAAGGTTCATCACATGTGTACTGTATGTCACCTGTGTGTCTTGCCTTAAAGGTTCATCACATGTGTACTGTACTTCAGCTGTGTGTCTTGCCTTAAAGTTTCATCACATGTACTGTATGTCACCTGTGTGTCTTGCCTTAAAGGTTCACATCACATGTGTACCGTATTTCACCTGTGTGTCTTGCCTTTAAAGGTTCATCACATGTGTACTGTATTTCACCTGTGTGTCTTCTGTCTTTTAAAGGTTCATCACATGTGTACTGTATTTCACCTGTGTGTCTTGCCTTAAAGGTTCATCACATGTACTGTATGTCACCTGTGTGTCTTGCCTTAAAGCACCATCACATGTGTACTGTACTCTCACCTGTGTCTTACCTTAAAGGTTCATCACATGTGTACTGTATGTCACCTGTGTGTCTTTTGCCTTAAAGGTTCATCACATGTATCGTACCACCTGTGTGTCTTGCCTTTAAAGGTTCATCACATGTGTACTGTATGTCACCTGTGTGTCTTGCCTTAAAGGTTCATCACATGTGTACTGTATTTCACCTGTGTGTCTTGCCTTAAAGAAGTTCACCGCATGTGTACTGTACTCACCTGTGTGTCTTGCCTTAAAGGTTCATCACATGTGTACTGTATGTCACCTGTGTGTCTTGCCTTAAAGGTTCATCACATGTGTACTGTACTTCACCTGTGTGTCTTGCCTTAAAGGTTCATCGTGTACTGTATTTCACCTGTGTGTCTTGCCTTAAAGGTTCATCACATGTGTACCGTATGTCACCCGTGTGTCTTGCCTTAAAGGTTCATCACATGTGTACTGTACTCTCACCTGTGTGTGTTCTGCCTAAAGGTTCATCACATGTGTACTGTACTTCACCTGTGCCTGCCTTTAAAGGTTCATCATATGTGTACTGTACTTCAGCTGTGTAATCTTGCCTTAAAGGTTCACTACACGCGGTACTGTATGTCACCTGTGTGTCTTGCCTTAAAGGTTCATCACATGTGTACTGTATGTCACCTGTGTGTCTTGCCTTTAAAGGTTCATCACATGTGTACTGTATTTCACCTGTGTGTCTTGCCTTAAAGGCCCACCACATGTACTGTATTTCACCTGTGTAGTCTTGCCTTAAAGGTTCATCACAGTGTACTGTATGTCACCCAGTGTCTTGCCTTAAAGGTTCATCACATGTGTACTGTATTTCACCTGTGTGTCTTGCCTTTAAAGGTTCATCACATGTGTACCTATTTCACCTGTGTGTCTTGCCTTAAAGGTTCATCACATGTGTACTGTATTTCACCTGTGTGTCTTGCCTTAAACGTTCATCACATGTGTACTGTATGTCACCTGTGTGTCTTTGCCTTAAAGGTTCATCACATGTGTACTGTACTTCACCTGTGTGTCTTGCCTTAAAGGTTCATCACATGTGTACCGTATGTCACCTGTGTGTGTCTTGCCTAAAGGTTCATCACATGCACTGTACTTCTACTCTGCGTGTCTTGCCTTAGTGTCACCACATGTGTACTGTATGTCACCTGTGTGTCTTGCCTAAATAGTTCATCACATGTGTACTGTACTTCACCTGGTGTGTCTTGGCCTTAAAGGTTCATCACATGTGTACTGTACTCACCTGTGTGTCTGTCTTAAAGGTTCATCACATGTACCGTGGCGTCAACACCTGTGTGTCTTGCCTTAAAGGTTCATCACCACACGTACTGTAATTTCACCTGTGTGTCTTGCCTTAAAGGTTCATCACATGTGTACTGTATGTCACCTGTGTGTCTTGCCTTAAAGGTTCATCACATGTGTACTGTACTTCACCTGTGTGTCTTGCCTTAAAGGTTCATCACATGTGTACTGTATTTCACCTGTGTGTCTTGCCTTAAAGGTTCATCACATGTGTACTGTATTTCACCTGTGTGTCTTGCCTTAAAGGTTCATCACATGTACTTGTATCTCATTGCAGACTTCTCACACTATTGGGTTCACTCTCTACTTGTTGGCACGTAATCCAGAGGTACAAGCACGTTTACAACGGGAAGTAGACAGTGTCCTTGGTGATCTGGAAGGTCCCATCACTCCCAATCATATGGCTCAGCTCTCTTACCTAAAAGCTGTTATTAAAGAGTCTCTAAGGTAATATTAAACTGCTATTAGTGAAAATGTGAAACTGTAATTAAGCATTTTGTAGTTTACTGGATTGTCAATATTTTATTTCATTTTGTATTCAGATTTCTGGCAAAGACGATGAAAGTGAAAAGTAAGAAAATAATATTAAACAATGGTTATTTACTGCACATCTTCAGCAGGAAAATGTGTAAAAACTAAATAATAATATTCAGTATGTGACATTAAAATAGAGGACAAGTATTTACTGTACTGTACATGGAAGTCAAATGTACCCAAAAGTATGAACTTAAATTATAGAAATATATTATTACCTCAACTCTTTGATAATTTTGTCCCGTGTATGTGTTGCTATTGATAACATGTACAGTATACTGTAGTATACTCAGAAGCATTAAACCATTAAATTTATTTCATTTTTCAGTATTGCACAAACTTTAAACTTTCCAGCGTTTAGCCTTGAATGCTTTAAACGTTAAGCCGATCAATTTTCCCCATAAAGAAAGATAAAATACGGGAGTTACGTTCCTGAGCCTCCCTTTGCCCCACGAAATACATTACATATACAGAAAATCATTGCCATTCTATCGAAAATAGTGCATACATATACATCTACTAAGTTTGTATTGGTACTCACCGATGGGCGGAGGTGATAGAGCGAGTGTGTGGTGGGTAGTGAGGTGGGGGGCAGGAGAGGAGGAGGTTGGTGAGTCACTGAGACTCTGCGCCAAGCCGAGAGAGCATAGCGCTGCCAGATGAGAGAGGGTGATGCACCATAAAATGTAGTCTGTGATGACGCAAAACGACGTAGTATCGGATCACCGGGACGTTAAATGAATTTTTGGTCTCTAAAGTTTAGCAACGTACTGTAGTACCGAAACAACGTTAAGTGGGACGACGTTAAGCGCGGACTTCCTGTATATGTATATATGGTTCATATATGCTTCTTCAATCTTCGGTTTCTCATTTTTATAAAGTGGATTGTTGAGCTGGTTCTTTGACTTGTTTTAGACGTACAGTCAACCCTCGCTTTACTCGGTCCCACTTTACGTGTTTCCACGTTTACGCGGTACCCTGCCGAAACCAGAATGCTCACTTTCCGCGGTGTGTGTACCCTTTTACGCGGAGAGCGGCACGAGCAGGGTGCGCACAAGGTCCCCCAGTCATCAAAACATTACCGAGTTCTTCACCCGCCACCCACCACAGCCGGCCCAAGTCAGTGATAGTGATAATGATAGTGAGGATATGGACTTATATGGACTTTGAAGGGTTTGACAAAGAGGCCCTGCAAGCCTCTGTGGTGGATAGTGATACAATTGATACAAGTGATACAGATGAGGGCCAATATATAATCTGCCCTCTGCCTCGGAACCAACCCCCCATCCCCGTGTGCCCAGCCATCTTTTCTACTAATGTAAGTGTTAAAAAACCTAATATTATTGATATTTCTCTTAATTATTGATTGTGTGTGCATACCATCATAAAATTAAGAAGTTATTTTTACTACAACGTAGGTATTGTGTCTGAAAAAGTGGAGTTTGGGGGTCGGCCCGGTCTCAATTTCAATTAATCCCATATGTTATGTTGTTCACCTTACGCGTTTCTCACTTTACGCGGGCCGCCGTGGGTTCAATTGACCGCGTAAAGTGAGGGTTCACATCCTTGTTATGCACTGTTGGCAAGAGGCCTCCCCCGGGTTACGGCAACTCTGGTTGCGGAAATTCGCTCTTACTGATTTTGTAAATTATGACCAATAAATTCTGGGATACGGACAAAAATTTCCCCCTTTACGGAAATTGGGTAAATTTTTAATTTTAATTTTTTTTTAATACTAATAGAAAAAATTCACAGAAGTTATAAGATTTATTTCTTGTGGATTTCTTGGTGGTTGGTACAATACTGTACAGGGCGAGGCAGGAGCCAGTAGTGCCCCTCCATCTCCCTCCCAGTAACTCTGATTGCACCACCTTACCTCACCTAATGCAGCACTCAACATCATTTGTGATAAGTTAAATTCAAGTGTTTTGTATATTTATTATCATATTATATCATAAAATAATCAATGTATGTGTTAAAAAATATATATTTTCATTCATAAATTTGCTTGTATTACGTCTTTTTGCCAAAGATATTTCCTTGGGAACGCGTCTCCAATTATATAACGAAAGTCAACGGGAAAATTGGTTTCGCGTTACGGACAAATTTTTAAGGATACGTACCTTCCGTAACCCGGGGATGCCCGTACTGTAACTGGCACATTTAACTACAGTACAGTAATAGTGTTAGTTGCACTGGATCACAGGTAACTTGTATGTTAAGGTGTAAACACAGCTTTAGAAGGGATGCTTAGACAGGTAGTGAGTAAACCATCCCATTGAAGCTCCTGTAACACGGACACATTAAAATAATCAGTTCTCTTCAATCACGAGGTGTACGTTAAGTTTTGTATATTTTGTTCTTTGTCCTTAAATTACAATGGTTTCAAATTATTTCACCTTACAGTTTTTATAAATATACACAAAAGATTGAATGTAGGGAACTTACAGGTAGCAAATACAGTACATAAGAACATAAGAATGGAGGAAACTGCAGCGGGCCTATTGGCCCGTACTGGGCAGTCCCTTTTACATCCAACCCCTATTGCTCATATATCCATCCAACCTATGTTTGAAGCTATCCAGCGTATTCGAGTTAATGATGATATTTGGTAACTTGTTCCAGTCGTCCACTACTCTATTTCCAAACCAATGTTTACCTATTTTGCGCCTAAATCTAAATTTGTCTAATTTAAAACCATTGTTGCGAGTTCGCTCCTGGTTGGATAGTTTGAGTACCTTTGTAATGTCCCCTTTGTTTAGCCCTGACTTCCATTTATACACCTCGATCATGTCGCCCCTTACTCTACGTCTCTCGAGGGAGTGCAAATTAAGATGCTTTAACCTGTCTCTGTACTCAAGGTTCCTAATGCCCAGGATTAGTCTTGTCATTCTCCTCTGAATTCTTTCCAAGGATTCTATATCCATTCTGTAATACGGTGACCAGAATTGAACTGTGTAATCCAAGTGAGGTCTTACAATCCCAAGATATAGTTTTAATATGACCTCATTAGTCTTGTAACTAACACTCCTTTGTATGAACCCAAGTACTTTATTAGCCTTGTTTCGAGCAAATACACATTGTTTACTTGGCTTAAGATTCCTACTTATCATTACTCCTAAATCTCTCTCGCAGTCGGATTTCTCAATAACATCATTGTTCATCTGGTATCTGGTTTCCCTTTTCACATCTCCTTTACTGAGTACTTTACATTTGTCCACATTGAATTTCATCTGCCATTTTTCAGACCATTCAAAAAATTTGTTTAGATCTTCCTGTAGTTTTGCGTAATTCTCGTCGGATTTAATTACATGTCCTATTATAGTGTCATCAGCAAATTTACTTATGTTGCTGTCTATTCCGATATCTGTCATTTATGTATATAATAAATAATAATGGTCCAAGTACTGAGCTTTGTGGAACTCCACTAGTGACGTTGCTCCAATGGGATTTAGTGCCGTTAATGCTCACTCGCTGTTTTCTGTCCTGTAACCACGCACTAATCCATTTTAGAATATCACCTTTAATGTCATGAGCCTCCACTTTTCTTATTAGTCTTTCGTGGGGGACTCTGTCAAAGGCTTTGCTTAAGTCGAGATATACCACATCATAATTGTGCCCGTCGTCCACTGATTCCAAAACTGATGAAAAGAATGTTAATAGATTAGTTAGACATGAATGCTTGCTTGTGAAGCCTTGTTGGGAATCATTGATCAACTTGTGCTCCTCCAGGTGATTTCTAATAGAGTTTGAAATGATTGCTTCCAGTAATTTGCCTACAATTGATGTTAGACTGATTGGACGATAGTTAGAGGATAGTGATCTACCTCCCTTCTTGAAAATCGGTATTACATTTGCTATCTTCCAGGATTCTGGTACTACACCTGCTTTTAAGGACATGTTAAACAACTTTGCTAGGGGCATACTAAGCTCTTCCTTACATTCCTTTAATACTCTGGGAAATATCTCATTGGGACCTGGTGACTCATTAGGCTTTAGTTTGTCTATTTGCTTACTAAAATCGTTACTAGTCACTACTATCTCGCTTAATTTATTTTCTTCACTATCTCTGTATAGAGTCGGAGCTTCGGGTATCATGTTTAAATTTTCAGTGGTAAAAACTGTTGAAAAATATTTATTCAGATTATTGCTCATTTCTCCGTCGTTATCAGTTAGCTCGCCGGTATCTGACTGTATTGGTCCAATCTTTTCTTGTGTTTTAGTTTGATACTTTTGAAAAATCCCTTGGAGTTTGACTTCGCCTCCCTTGCTGTCCTCAGCTCATTATTCCTCTTTGCTTTTCTTATCTCAGTCTTAACCCTACCGGCCAATACCTTATAATAATCACAGAGGTAAACTTCACCACGATTTATCCTTGTACCTACAGTGGGGTATGCTATAACGAATCTAATTGGTTCTAGAACCTTGTTCGTTATAGCAATCGTTTGTGATAGGATTAATCCGTTCCAGGCCCCCAAATACAACCACTTAACACTGAAAAATATAATATAAAATTGTAAAAGTTGTAAAAAAGTGCATAAATATGCATCTAAACCCCTGAAATAAAGAATATCATTAATATTTGTAATAATAAAACAATAAATTAGAAAAAAAAAATTTAAATTATGTTCGTTGTAGGAGTTTCGTTCGTTATAGCATTCTCAATTTTATAGGTAAAACCGTTCGTTATAGGAATATTCGTAGTAGGATCCGTTCGTTATAGCATACCCCACTGTATAGCCTTCCTTTGACCAATAATGTTCTTTAAATACTGTTGTACAGTACTGTAATTACAATCATCCCAGCAATTCCTCTTATGTTCTGAATAGTTTTTTTTTCAGTGTTTTTCAGTATTTTAATTTACATTAACATACATTTATACTATTTATTTTTTTTTCAATTTGAAACAAGTTATTCACCTCATCCATAGGTTCATTTAGATGCTGTACAGTAGCAGTACTGCACTGTATATTGTATTGACATATATCATGTTTTGCAGGATTTTCCCTCTGACTCCAGGATTCGTGAGGACTCTAGAAAAAGATATTGTTCTCGGTGGATATTGTGTTCCCAAAGGGGTAAGTTGAGTTTATTTACTTATTTTTACTTATTATGTTTTTTTAAATATGTCAGCATTTTCTGATGTAAAACGTGTCTAAAATTAAACAAAATAATTGACTGGATGTATCATTAAGCAAGTTAATTGGTAACATCCCAGTCTGTCTACTCCCATTAGGTCAGGTCAGGTCATCACTAACAGTAGGTATTCTGGTGTAAGGTTGAGAGTTTCACTGACACCATTTTAGGGAGCTGCTAAGTGTTTTTATATTGTTATCCTGCTGCTTTTAACCATTTTATAGGGGAATTTCTCCTTTCTATTTTGCTTTAATTTCTTTTTTCTGTCAATATTTTGTTAAACAACTATTTTTCTTTCTTTCTGAACTTCTTATCTCTTCAAACCTTCTTTCTTTCAATTACTTATTTTATTACTTCCATATGTGAGCTATGTCTTATTTAGTTTACTTCATATAGTTACTCCATAACCTCTGACCTGTGGTAGCATGGCTCGAGGGTTAAGACACGGGGTCGGGGTGTACCGTAATTCTGGTACCAAGTTGTGGGAAAAAATTAAGGTAAATAATGCAGGAGAATGATAACCCCTAACATACAAAGAAAATGGTTTATTAAAATGAAATTAAACTCATGAATACTTTCAGTCACACACAACTACAAGGATCAACTCCATGGCTCTACTCTTATTGTACTTCCAATTCGGTACATTTTCCAACTTACACCATTACTGGTGTGCCTTTAACCAAAACACACAACACTATAAGCCTACATATAGCATGTTTGAGTACCATCAATACAAGTTACCTGATCACCTTGGCTCTTAATTAGTAACAGGACTCTAGTAATAGCACCAATACTAATACATTAACCCTCTCACAATGCCATTGTGGCGTCGAACATAAAAGGCGAAAAAAATTACGCTATATTTTCAAATAACTCAAAAACTATTAAGTGAAACCGACTGGACTTTGGACGCCATTTGACAGATGTCGTTTCTTTGTTTGAGCCGTATCACCTTCCCAAAGACGGTCTTGGTCATCGTGTGCACGGCAGCGCAGCCGCAGCATGAAGCCATTAGAACAAGAGGAAGGTGTGCAGCTCGGCCCTTTAATTATTCCACGAGTTTTTGTGTTACATTATTTTTCCTTATAACACAATATTCTACAGTACATGCTTTGTTCTTTATTATGGTATATAGTACATATCACTGAACGCCATAATACAAGGAAAATATGAATGGAAATCGAGTCGTTATTAAACATTTTCCTACTTTTTCAACTTATACTCGGAAAAAAGTGGCTTAAATTTCACGAATTTTAAATTTTTTATTATTTCATACAATTTTTCAGACAATTTTATGCTTGAAGAGACTCCACTACAATTAATAAAACAATTCCATGGCAGTGAAATGTGCCCCAATAAAAAAGATATATATATATATATGCTGATAACCACAAGGAAAGAAGAAAACACGAAGTTCCCAAGCGCTTTCGTGTAATTCACATCTTCAGGGGTGAGTACAGACTAGAGAGAGAAATACAAACCAAGGTGTATATATACAGAGGAGGGTGAGACCAGGTCCACAATGGTCAGGTATTAGGTAATGACCCTACTAATCTTTAAATAGCACACAACGGTTGGTGGTCAGGTCAGATGGTCAGGTGACCCGGCCTTCTCACCTGGTTACAAATCTTCTTAATTACAAAATTGTCCAGCTTGTACATGCCGTTACTCAAATTCATGTTGAATGCTTCGGTATGTTTAATAAGACTAGATTCTATGATGTTCCTACTATCAATTGAATTACATGGTAATATTGAGGAGGCATTATCCCAGTCAATGCAATGCTTGTTATCCCTCAAATGAACAAACAGAGCATTGGATTCCTGGCCTGTCCTAACACTGTATTTGTGTTGCTTAATTCTAGTTGCAAGATCTTTACCTGTCTGGCCTAAGTAAAACATATTACATTCCTTGCAAGGAACTTTATAAATGCAACCAATTGTGTTGTTGGGGGAGTTCTTGATTAACATTTGTTTAACAGTGCATGAGTTTTTAAATGCCACATTGACGTTCCAGGTTTTTAGTTGTGAAGGAATGTGTGACCTGACCACCAACCGTTGTGTGCTATTTAAAGATTAGTAGGGTCATTACCTAATACCTGACCATTGTGGACCTGGTTTCACCCTCCTCTGTATATATACACCTTGGTTTGTATTTCTCTCTCTAGTCTGTACTCACCCCTGAAGATGTGAATTACACGAAAGCGCTTGGGAACTTCGTGTTTTCTTCTTTCCTTGTGGTTATCAGCATATACCTAGATCACGCGCACCTACAGTGATTTACTTGTATATATATATATATATATATATATATATATATATATATATATATATATATATATATATATATATATATATATATATATATATATATATATATATATATATATATATATATATATATATATATATATATATATATATATATATATATATATATATATATATATATATATATATCAACCCGCCAGATTCAACCCACGCCCAGCCTATGACTGTGGGTTCAATCTCTGCGGTTGAGGTGTTGATTGTGTAGAAGTCCGCGTTTTATTATTAATGATATATATATATATATATATATATATATATATATATATATATATATATATATATATATATATATATATATATATATATATATATATATATATATATATATATATATATATATATATATATATATATATATATATATATATATATATATATATATATACACACACACACAGTATTACCCCGCCTAACGCGGTTTCACTTAGCGCGTTTTACCATATACGCGGTGCCTCGCCAGAGCTGAACTTTCACTTAACGCGGGTTTTTTCCACATATAAGCGGTGAGTGTCCGGCTCGAGAGCTATTTTTAGATTCGCCCCACCCACCACCCTGCCTGACTGCCTGTTTTAGCTCATAAAATTCATACAAATTACCCAGCCAGAATATAATTTATATTGCTGGAATTCTTATAATTTGGTGATCATTTTGAATATAAACATCATAGATTTTGCATTAGACATACAAATTTTAGATGTAAAGTTTATTCTGAGTAAATATGTTATCTTTTGTGAAAAATATATGACATTTATATTCAAAATATTCCTGGTCTTACAAGGAATCCAGCAATGTCAATTATATTATCCTAACTTTAGTTTGAGGTATTATTTATTACTAAAAGGTAAATATTCTGGTTTTCCCACACATCTGGTGAGACGGGGGGTGGGGGGGAGGGAGGGACCGACCGACCATCTGTTACAGTGAAGAATATTTATTTTTTTATTATTAACTGAAGATATTTGTTTTCGCTCATAAAATTCATACAAATTACCTGGTCAGAATATAATTTCCATTGCTGGAATTCTTATAATTTGGTGATCATTTTGAATATAAACATCATAGATTTTGCATTAGACATACAAATTTTAGATGTAAAGTTTATTCTGAGTAAATATGTTATCTTTTGTGAAAAATATATGACATTTATATTCAAAATATTCCTGGTCTTACAAGGAATCCAGCAATGTCAATTATATTATCCTAACTTTAATCTGAGGTATTATTTAATACTAAATGTTAAAAACTCTTGAAGGGAGGATTGGTGGGGGGTGGGGGGGAGGGTTGGGACTGACCGCGCGGTTGGAAGAGGGGGGGGGAAGGCAAGGTGGGGTACTTTGATTGACAGATAGTGTCCTGAAGATTATTTTTTTTTTTATTAACTGAAGATATTTGTTTTAGCTCATAAAATTCATACAAATTACCCGGCCAGAATATAATTTACATTGCTGGAATTCTTACAATTTGGTGATCATTTTGAATATAAACATCATAGATTTTGCATTAGACATACAAATTTTAGATGTAAAGTTTATTCTGAGTAAATATGTTATCTTTTGTGAAAAATATATGACATTTGTATTCAAAATATTCCTGGTCTTACAAGGAATCCAGCAATGTCAATTATATTATCCTAACTTTAGTTTGAGGAATTATTTATTACTATACCTGGTTTTCCCCCCAAAATTTCTCAGAGGGAAGAGCTGGCAGTGTAGTGTGAGAGGGGGAGGGAGTTGAGTCCATTATTTGAATGGACATTAACTTGGCGACTGTATTTCTCTATTTCTCTTAAGTATTAATTGTGTGCATGTACCATCATAAAATTAAGATGTTATTTTTACTACAACATAGGTATGTGCCTTCAAAAAGTGGAGTTTGGGGGTCGGGCTGGTTTCTATTGGAATTAATCCCATATGTTTTGTTGTTCACTTAACGCGGATTTCACTTAACACGGGACCCTCTGGGTTCTATTGACCGTGTTAAGTGGGGTACAACTGTATATATATACAGTCATGCGCCGGTTAACGTCCTAGATACGTTCTTGCAAACGTGACGTTAACCGAAATGGACGTTGTCCGATCATCACATAAACTTTTTATTTATACTTATGTGTATGTGGAATACTATATACGTACATATACACTTTTACTGTTAAATCACTACTGTAATGTGATACAGGTGATTAATTTTTATCTCTTGTGCAAAATACATGACGTTTATATTAAAATTATTCACTGTTTTACAAGGATTCCAGCAATGCCGAGCAGATGGGAGAGAGAGGGGGCGTGGGGGGAGGGGAGGTAGTACATTTGACAGTTGGCACAGGCCCAGGTCTAACGCGTGTATATTTATCAGTTCTTAGGTGACTAGGTAATAGGTATTTGGCAGCTACCAAATAGGGAGGTACTACCGCCTGGGAAGATATTGGAAGCATAATGTGTTGTCTATGGTAGATCCTGCTGCCATATGGCATCACGAAAATTGTGACCAAGTCCCAGGCTGCTGATCTGACTTCCTGCCTCATTTACACACAATTGCAGGGTCTCAATTGTTTCTCTTAACACAACATACATATATTGTTCCTCACTTTTGATTTTTTTTTCCATTTTGTATTTCTTTATGGTTCTTTATTATTATTATTATCATTATTATTATTATTATTATATTATTATTATTATTATTATTATTATTATTATTATTATTATTATTATTATTATTATTATTACATTTTCGCCCCCCAGGCCCCGATGTGGGTCAGTGACCTGTGCCTGGGTGGACTAATTCCCGTAAAAAAAAAAAAAAAGCTTCTCTTATTAAAAAGCCAGTGAAATGACCTGGGTGAATATAATTAACATAGCTGGGAGTCTTGTAACACAATGATTAATTTGAATATAAACATGCTATAATTTACACTAGACAAAACAATTTTAGTACCGTAATCAAATTAGTACATGTGCACTCCAGCTTTGCACTAAGAAATCTATGTAAATCTACCCAAAAATACAGTTGAAAAACTTTTTTATAAAATGTTCTACAGTACTGTACACTAATGTACAAAAATTTTTATCTCTTGAGCAAAATATATGACGTTTATATTCAAATTATTGGCTGTCTTGCAAGGATTCCAGCAATGCAAATTATAATCTCCTAACTTTAGTCTGAGATATTATATAAGATAAAAACTGTAAGCCTGAAAGGCTGGGGGTGGGGGGGGGGCTGATGGCTCCGCCACCCAGCGAGGGGTTGGGGGGGTTGAGGTGATAAGTTTGAGCCGAAGGTCTCTGTGTGTTTATTTAACAGTCCTACTAAGCTTCTCTCATTTTAAAATGCCAGTGATATGACCTAGGAGAATATAATTAACATAGCTGGGATTCTTGTAAGATACTGATTTATTTGAGTATAAACATGTTGTAATTCGCACTAGACATAACAATTTTAGTACCGTAATCGAATTAGTACATGTGCACTCCAGCTTTGCACTAATTTATTTTACGTTTCTTTTAGTATGGTGTGTGCATATAAATGGATGAAAATAAATGAAGAAATTTATGTAAATCTACCCAAAAATACAGTCGAAAAACTTTTTATAAAATGTACTACAGTATTGTACACTAATGTACTACATTTTTTATATCTTGAGCAAAATATCTGATGCTTATATTCAAATTAATCTCTGTCTTGGAAGGATTTCAGCAATGCAAATTATATTATCCTAACTTTTGTCTGAGATATTATATATAATAAACATAAAGAAATCACCAATCTTTTGTCTTGAACACGAGGGTGGGAAGGTGACGGGGGGGGGAGGTGAGGTGACAGAATGTCTGGCATTTGTTTGTTTATTTATTTGAGATAAGATTTGACAGTTGGCGCTGAAGGCCTGCCTGTGTGTTTATTTATCATTACTTAAGAGTGACTAAGCTCTTCTCATAATTTTCCACCCAAACGACCTGGGTGAATATAACTTACATTGGAGGGATTATTGTAAGATAGTAATTTATTTGAATGATTTTTTTTTCAATTAAAATTTTAATTGTTTATTCCTTGATAGAGGAAGCGGGATCCTAGTGCTGTCACTTGGTACCCCTGTACCATAACACCAGAAGCAACTGGCCAGTGTCACAAGTATATACAGTACAGTACAGTCATCCCTTGGTTATCGTGCCTAATTGGGACCCCACCGATAACGAAAGTACAGAACCTATGGGATTTATTCTAATTGGTTCATTTACCCAAGACCCAACCCCAAGTTTCCCATTTTACGACCATTTATACCCACTAAATATATATATAATGTTATGGTAAATATCATAAACACACATAGGCATGGCTAGGTTTATTACAAAGTGATGAAAAGGGTACGCTTAATACTGTAGTCCACAAAACATGTAGCTATGCTTTTTTTATTTGGTCCCCCGTCATACGAGTCCGTTTTCTCTCACATCAGGACGACTGAGTCCTCCGTTTTCTCTCTTAATCTTAGAGTGCACCAGAAACTTTACTATTTTTAGTAATGCCACAGAATTTGAAATTGCAACCCCAATTGCAACTGGGGTTGCAATTGTTGAGGCAACTAGATATGTCTGATTACAGCAAATGTGTTATTGTCAATTTGTAGGTGAAAGATTTTATCCTCAATAGATGTAGGTTAACACTTCACCTGTAGGCAAATGCTTAAAAAAGCCTAAGTAAGAAAGCATATTCCTTTAACACATAATATCTGACCAGTATGGGGAGGATCATCATGTCTCGTCAGGGGGTCGTGGAGTGGTGATCCAGCAGGCGCTACTTTTTTGGGGAGGCCACGGACGATATGCGATCGCTAACTGCCTATATATATATATATATATATATATATATATATATATATATATATATATATATATATATATATATATATATATATATATATATATATATATATATATATATATATATATATATATATATATTTTTTTTTTTTTTTTTTTTTTTTTTTTTTTTTTTAAAGAATTTTTCCAGAAAAACCTCCGAGGCTGAGCGTAAGTTTTCTTGCACATATGTGTCTCAGGCTCCGAGGCTGAGAGGGTTAACAGCACCAGGATTAGTAGCTTCCCTGCACTCCTTAGTTACATTCGCCAAGAAGTAAGTGGCGACCTCATATTCTTGCTGTTTCCAAACACCCATACAACTGAGGATACTCGTACAAATAACACACACTTAGTGGGGTACTCATTCATAACACTGCTGAAAGCTAGCCGTGTTTACTCTCACGTAAGATCATGGGTGGACAGCGAACACAGTCTAGCCACCTCCTCTTAGCAGTGAGCTGAGGGCTTAGCTTAACACATACTGGTTATATAACACTATCCGATCTCGGTGGCTTTCATCCATCTCCAATACTAGGGTTGGGGGTCATCCTGGCCTACAACAACCACCTGCAAACAGGATGGAGTCGAGGCTGGAGAGAGGTGACACGAATGTCATAATGTTTTTAAAAACTGAAGACACATGAACACTACTTAAAACACATTAAAGTTACATTACTGGATCACTTCCACATTCAAACAAAACACAACTACGTCAAATCACTTAATAGGACTGGGTGACAAGACTAATCCTGGGTATTAGAAACCTTGAGTACAGAGACAGGTTAAAGCTTCTTAATTTGCACTCCCTCGAGAGATGTAGAGTGAGAGGTGATATGATAGAGGTGTATAAATAGAAGTCAGGGCTGAATAAAGGGGACATTACAAAGGTACTCAAACTATCCAACCAGGAGCAAACTCGTAACAATGGTTTTAAATTAGACACATTTAGAGTTAGGCATGAAATTTGTAAACATTGGTTTTGAAATAGAGTAGTGGACGAGTGGAACAAGTTACCAAATATCATTATTAACTCGAATACGCTGGATAGCTTCAAACATAGGTTGGATGGATATATGAGCAATATGGGTTGGGTGTAAACAGGACTGCCCAGTATAGGCCAATAGGCCCGCTGCAGTTTCCTCCATTCTTATGTTCTTATACCTGTGAACAGGATGGAGTCAAGGCTGGAGAGCGAGCCTAAGTGAGGTCAAGGCGTCTGCCTCGCCCTCCTTAGCCAGCGTCTCACAACCCCGAGTGTCCAAGTTGAAGCTTACACAGATAATATCAACAAACTGTTACTCTACACCTTGGCATGTGAAAATTAGGCTACAAACTTATTTTAATTTTCTTAGGTTAAATTTTAAACTAAGCAGTGACCGAGCTCTCAAAGGCAAGAATTAAACTGATGTCAAATATTCAGACTGGCAGTACATTGTGGGCGGAGCTTAGAACAGAGACGTATCAAATTCTAGCCGTTAGATGGTGAAGATAAGACGACTGACACTTCCCTTCAGGAATTAATTACCTACTTAAATACAAAACTTATAACAATTTCAATATAAACATCAGATTCTCTGATGATTGGGAATCAAATTTATCTAATTTCAGAAGCAATGTGAAGACTCAGGGTATCTCTAGGGACACTGTCATGATACGTCATTTCTTACAGTAGACTCTACACTGACATATTGACAATTTTACTAACGGTAAACACAGTTGAAGCTTTCAACATCACTCACAAGGATCTTGAATGTTTCATCTGTACTCCTACATATCTAATGGAATACATTATAATTGTGTTCTCTTTCAAGGGGTAACTCATCAGTTTCACACATGTTTTGTTGGCAGTGTAGCATTGTTTTATTGTTGTTTTTATCCTCTTCACCACTGATCGGCTAGTTAGCCGCTTGGGCGATCGGTCACATCTCTGTTACTTTTCTTTTTCTTTTATCCTCTTCGCCAAATGATCGGCTCGTTAGCCGCTTGGGCGTAGACAAAGTGAGCATAAACCAGTTAGCTATGATTACCTGATGGCATGATGTTCTCTCCTATAGTGGATGGCAGTTGGCTTCAATATTTTCATAGGCTGGGATGAGGCTTATTTCCCTCGAGCCAAGGAGTTCATCCCAGAGAGATGGCTACGCCACAGGCCTCTGGGTCCCATCCACCCATATGCCTCTCTTCCATTTGGTTCTGGGACCAGAATGTGTGTTGGACGACGTATAGCAGAGCAGGAACTTCACACTTTCATGGCCAGGGTAAGCTGAAACTGTAACAGTAGAAAGCCATACAGTATATAATTTAATATGAAGATTGAAAATAAGCAAATTGATATAAAGAGGTTGGAGAAGGAGGAGGACCTGGGCGAGAATTTTTTTTTCCTGGGGGCTTCCGTCATTTTGAACAAGCGGCACCGTCACAGTGTTTGAAGTGCGGCACCACTGTACACTCAATAAGAAAGAGAATAAGAGACGATCATTCAAGCTTGGCGTAATCCTAACGTAATAGATACTAATAAAAACAAATAATAACCTAAACTCACCAGAACGGCCAAGATAGAACGAATTCTTGCTGCCACCAGCTGATTGTACAGTGGTGCCGCCCTTCAAACACTGCGACTCTGCCGCTTGTTCAAAATGACGGAAGCCCTCAGGAAAAAAAAAATCGCTACTTGGGCAGGGTGATAAAATATTGTGAGGAAAATATTCATGCTGTACAAACAAAATGAACCACAGACAGACTAAATCCAGCAAATGTTCTCCTGCATTGGTTTAGAAATATTCTCCAGTGGCTGTGGAACCCTCAGATATTTAAAACTGGATACCATGGTTGGTAAAATGGTGCACAAAATATAAAATATAGATACTCAAGACCACAGTTGGTAATCCATTGGTTAGTGTAGGGTTATTGTGTAGACAAAGAAATTGACCATTAGTAAAACCAAATGCTTAGGTAATCATTACTGTACAGTAATAGTATTTTAATTTGAAGCTCAGTTCAAAGATTTTACATTCAGAAATTTTTTTACTATTACACCTTTGTGGTTTTGGTTAAGTATATACCCTGTACCTCATCGAAGGTACTATACACTACATACTTATACTGTATGCTCTGAGCCAAACTAATTCTTGAAACTAGAATTGGATCTAAGTTTTTGTACTAAAACCATAGAATACATTGTGAAAGGTAATTTATGTTAGGTGAGATTATGTTTGGTAATGAATACAGTATTAGGCAAGAAATATTCCTTGGTACTATACTAGGTTAAATCAAATTATATTAGGGGTAGGCTATGTTATGTTTTGGGTTAGGTTAGGGTTCTGTTGTGTTAAGTATGGTTCTTGGTACGGAGAGAGCTAGTTATAGTCTTATGTTCTTCGAGCCAAGTTATTCTCTAGATACATAAATAAACACTATGGATGTACAAAGAACCAAAAGAAATCAAGTTTGTGACTCAGGATTTACCCATGCAAGTCTTTTCATAAGGTTACATTTAAGGTCTCAGGTGTGTACAATTAGTAATAATGTTGAAATGGAAGCATTGATTGTGTCCGAGTTCTCATACTTTGATTATATTGTGATGTTCCCCAGGTGATGCACCGCTTTACCGTGGACTACAAGCATGAGGACATAGACTGTGTCTCCAAGCTTGTATTCGTGCCCTCCAAGCCTCTCAAGTTCACCTTCACTGAACGAAGATAAAGCTGCTTGTTTTGTTGTAGTCTGTAATACTACTCTGATGATGACCAAAGACAACAAGGTCTTTATCCTAAGGACAACACTGCTATTGTGTATAAGTCTCCAAGTCCTGATGAGATAGTTGCAAAAGCCTTAAAGGAATGTAAGGATGAAGTTAATACATTAAACCCGGTATTATTGCGTTTACACACCGTTCATTCCTACCACTAATCTATTATCAAATTCGATTAAGACGTCTAATTATAAGATAAATTTCATCTATTACATTACCGGCGGAAATGTATACTAACGGAGATAGCATATCCAAAATTTTCTCTATTTTCTTCCATTAATCTAACACCATTATCGTCTGCCTCTCCTCCAACGCTGCGTCTCTCTCTTGTCTCCTTCATAAATCATCACGCACATGTGTTCCCGTACACGTCACGCAGCCAATCAAAAGCGTTTTTGCTTTTGGAACTAATTAAAATGATTTTGGGTTTAATTCGCAGTATATTTGGACCAATCAAATTCGAGTTTTATTTTGGGTCTCTCATATTTTGAAATTCAAGTTCAGTTCCGACCATGGAAGTCTGCGATGGGTGTCACTTAAAGTATATGGAGCTGATTGCGAGTTTTTGGAAAAAAACGTAGAAACTGTAGCATTTTTTCGATCGCATGGTGTTCTTCCAACGTCAGTAAAGTGTACCAAGAGCAAGACAATGTAAATATTGCAAAGACCAACATATGTGGCGTTGGGTAAGAATCCCAGAATGCAACGACAAACAAGAACCAGGCCAATAAGGTAAGAAATAGGTGATTCCATCATATGGTGAGAGTCAGTTAGGTTAGGTTAGGTTTGGTTTGGTTTTTGTTTTTCTAGTGTTTTTTTTTTTTTGTGTGTGTGTATTTTTGCCATGATTGTTTTCGGAAAACGTCCAACGAAAAAATATAGAAAAAAAAACGGCTAATTTCTGCCAGAAATGAAGGTCATATTCGGTCTAAACACACACAAATACACTAGAAAAATATATTTTTGACTTTCTAACAGAGAACGGTGTGACAATGCAAATTTACCTTAAACTCTTTCATACAGTATTTGGCACCTATGGGACCAGGGTGGTGCCAGGAAATAAAATATAGTTAAGCAGGGGCGGATCCAGGAATATAAAACACGGGGAGAGCCCACCCATTTTTTATTTTTTGTGTGTGGGGGAGGGGGGAGCAAGCCCCCTCCCCGAATTTTTTTGAAATCTGACCAATATCAGGGCCATTTGAAAGCCATGAACACTTGATATTAGGAGATACTCTAAGGTCAATAGTAATTACTTTTTATTATACAAAAATGCCTGAGTACAATACTGCAATAAAGGAAAAGTATTGGAATTTTCTAATGAAAAGGTGGGGTCCAGACCCCCCCATCTGGATCCGCCCTTGTTAAGTGAGGGGTATAAGGTAACTATCCAGGCAATATATATAACACTGAATATCATTACTGAAATGTTTCATAATGACTTGAACAACAGAATTAAGCATCTAACCATTCCTCCCCTCTTGCTTGTTTTTGTATACTGTATATTGTACAATGCTATAATTTTATCCTCTTCGCCACTGATTGGCTTGTTAGCCACTTGGACGGTTGGTCAATATCTCTTTTACACATTGTTGGCACATCTGGGCATGCACTGGCTCCTGAATGTATCTGTACCTGCTCCAGTGTTGGTCAAGTCTGGTCTTGAATGAGCTCACACTCAGTGCTGTCATAACACTCTCGGCCATTATTTTAAACACTCGGGTCAGCAAGCCCGAAGGGCAATCCCGAATGTCGGGCTACTGTTTAGTAACCTTTCAAATGGATTCGTCAAACTCGAATATCAATCCCATCGGGTTACTGTTTAGTAACACGAACGCCGCAACTCTAGAGGGTTGCTACGCCTTATCCAAGATAAATGTAAACAAACCAGGTTGATCTGCACGCCAAAATTGAAGCAGAAACAGGAGTTGTGGAAATAAAAGTTCGTATTCAAGAGAGAAGGCAGACATCACCACCAATTATGCCAGCGTCTGCACCAACAGGAACACTTAGATCAACAACTGATCCAACATCAGGATCACCCGTGCCACCAACAGCAGCATCAACATCCAGTCACGGAGAAAAAAAAGGAAGCAGGTGAACAAGAGCAATGAATGCTTATATGCCATTATTAAGGACAGTACATAAGAACTGAATGATGCTATATTGGAGGCTTTAAAGGCCTTCACTAGTATGTACAATACATTATCAGTCCAATCTGTGCATAATGTATTTAGAGCAAGCATTAGAGTTGTTGACTGGTGGCATATGTCAAAAGTGCAGCCATAATTCCACCTCTGGCTGTGGTCAATCTAGTTAAATTATGGAGACTGCCATCAGTGTCAATTGACAATGTATAAACAGATTTTCTTTATCTTTCTGTTTACTATTTTTTCTTTGCACTTAATGGAGATTTAAATATTTTTTCATGTTCCAACATTTTTTTCTTTTTTTTTTTCTTTTGTGAAAACAAATACATTCCTTCAACTTAATTTGTGATATAATGTCAGATACCATATGCAGTACTGTGATACTCTGGATTGTACACTCGCACCAAAAAGTATCGGTGCAGGGTGAGATCGACGAGTTCCGAAACGATACGTATACACTGTGATATGTCGGGAAGGTTAGTAAGTGTATCCTCATAAACCCCCCCCTCCACTAGGTGTTGCCATATGGCTGACAATCAGGGCTGCCAACATATGGCTGGAACATCTCGCCTTTCCCAATACCAATCGTCACTGGTCTCAAATTGTTCACACTACAGTATTTTTGTTGCGAGTGTACACTCATACTTAATAAAGAATTTATTTTTTTTTTCTCTCTGTTTATTGTTTTTTTGCACTTAATGGAGATGTTAAATCATATTTTGTATGTTCAAATATTTATGATTTTTTTTTCTTTTACTTCTGAACACAAATGCTGTAGACTCAACATATTTTTTGCTAGAATTTCAGATACTGTACAATATACTGTACTGTGATACTGTATTATTTGGGAATCATTCTTTTATTTTACATTTCTTTTGTATTTTAATTTCAATACAGGTACAGTACAATACTTCTAAAATCTTTCAAGAATGATAATTGTTATAACTGTATTTGCAATTTCAAACTAAGTATGATTACTATTAATTTATATACAACACTGTACAGGTACTGTGATAAACTTGGTTTTACTGCTTGTTCTTATTTAGAGGAACAAATTGTTGATGGATTTCTGACACATTCCAACTATTTCTGTACAGTATAGTACTTTGAAGCCTTTAACAATGTGTACTGTACATTTATAATTTCAAGCAAAATACTAAACTGTTTGAATGATATAATTTTGCATATACGGTACTGTACTGTGATATATTTTTCTTTAGTCATGCCAGTGTAAATCCTTTTTTAATTTTGTTTGAATTGAAATACTGTTTCAAGTTGTACTGTGATAATGTTTGGAGGAAAAAAAATGTGTTATTTAAAGCAAAACAAATATTGGGAAATAACCTTGATAATAAAATCTATTAACTAAAACATTTTTTTTACCAAACCAATAATGCTTCAACTTGCCCTTACACTTGCTCTACTTTCAAACAAACTACATTATACAAATCAAAACCATGTATCAATTACACCCTTTCTATGTCGATGTAATTCAGTTGTGTTCCCTCCAGGGCTTCTAATAGGGATATGAGACCCACCAATGCAGCCAAATACACCAGACATCCCTGCAATGGTGTGAAATTCATCTACAAGGTTTTGTATGTTGCCTGATTCTGGAAAGTGGATGTAATCTTTTGCTGTAAGGGTCAAAATATTTGCATAGCTTTTGACAAACTTGCAAACTGATGAGTCAGAAATCTTCAAGCAATCTGTCATACTAATTTGAAAACTGCAATTGCTAAAGTATCTCAATGCAGTTATGAGGTGCAGGTGTGCTGTGCGGAATCCTGCAGGATATAATTTTTATTTTTTGTTTACGGTTTTGTTTAACATTGCTTATCCTGATTATGGTAAACAACATGGCAGGAATAATTGGTGCCGAGCTCTTCCTAGGATGAGAGACCTCCAGATAACAAGAAGACTCTCAAACCATGAAAAATACCACATCCCTAGAATTTTCCCGGTTACATGTACAAGTTTCCGAGTTTAAACATTCTTTCATCTTCGGAGACCCGGGAAAAAACAACGAGTTTCTGGAACTTTTTCATAAAAAATTCCAGAAAATGTGCCCGATATTCAACCTCGGAATTTGCTCCAAGGTGTGGAATCAAATTGTTTAAGAGATTTTTCAAAATAAAAAAATATATATAATAGAATAAACCCGATTTTCAACCTTGAAAATTCTTTCACAGACCCGGAATGTTGAAAATTTTCCAAGAAAAACTCCGAGCCAATTTCTATTCCCAGTAAGTGTTGGTGAATTCTGGGTAATGAAGATATTACTGCACTGTAATTATGGCCTGGTGGTATTATTGTACATGGTAGGTGGGGTGCTGAATAATGTATGGTGGTGATGTCCCCCTATACAGTGAACCCTCACTTTACGCGGTCAATTAAACCCACGGCGGCCCGCATAAAGTGAACAACATAACATATGGGATTAATTGAAATAGAGACCGGGCCGACCCCCCAAACTCCACTTTTTCAGACACAATACCTACGTTGTAGTAAAAATAACTTCTTAATTTTATGATGGTATGCACACACAATTAATAATTAAGAGAAATATCAATAATATTAGGTTTTTTAACACTTACATTAGTAGAAAAGATGGCTGGGCACACAGGGATGGGGGGTTGGTTCTGAGGCAGAGGGCAGATTATTGGCCCTCATCTGTATCACTTGTATCAATTGTATCACTATCCACCACAGAGGCTTGCAGGACCTCTTTGTCAAACCCCTCAAAGTCCATATAAGTCCATATCCTCACTATCATTATCACTATCACTGACTTGGGCCGGCTGTGGTGGGTGGCGGGTGAAGAACTTAGAAATGTTTTGATGACTGGGCGACCTTGTGCGCACCCTGCTCGCGCCGCTCTCCGCGTAAAAGGGTACACACACCGCGGAAAGTGAGCATTCCGTGTTCGGCAGGGTACCGCGTAAACGTGGAAATGCATAAAGTGGGACCGCGTAAAGCCAGGGTTGACTGTACTGCCCGATTTTGGGGTCACTAATTCTAAGGGGATAACTTAACTCTACTCTTAATTTTAAGGTCTCTGTCACCAGATCCCCTGGACAGTATGTAG